GTTGCACTAGAAAAGATTAAAGAGAAATGCGTGAGAGCTCGAAATTGCAAAGCTCGAATGCCGCGAATTCCAAAACAACGTCGTTTTGGTAAAAAAAAAAAATTCTTTTTTTTCTTTTTCCTTCTACCTCGAAACTGGTTTGAGAGAAAGAGTGAGAAACAGAGAGGTCAAAGAAAGAGAGGAGGAAGAGAGGAGAAGAGAGGAAGATGAGAGAAGAGGCAATGGCGGTGATGGCGGAAGAGGAAGAGGAAGAGAAGGAAGATTGACAATGATGGCGGCGTAAGATCAACGGTAGGTATCGTCGATCGCCTCTTTCAGACTATCTTCTCTACTTTTTTTCTTTTTTTTTTCTAGTAGATCTGGATTTGAAGATGAAGGGAAAAAAAAAATTGTTGATAATGATGATGTGTTGATGAAGATGTTGATTTTCTCTCTCTCTCTCTGTTGATGTTGTTGAAGATGATGATGTGTTGATTATCTCTCTTTCTTGTTTATTCTTCATCTTCTTTCTTCACCTTCATCTTCATCTTCTTCAAAAACTGTTTTGTGTTTGAGAGAGACAGACAAGGAAGAGAAACGGAAAAAAAAAAAATTTGGACCATTCGAATCTTATTTTTTTGGGCGACGTAGCACAATCGAAGATTAAATAAGATTGTCACTATTAATGACTGTTTAGTAGAAAGGCATCTGTAAGTTTTGTTGGTACAAATTAAGCCAAAACTGGACAGTTACAAAAACAACGATGTGGGGTCCTATTACCGTAAGTAGGCTTTATATTTGTATTTATGATTTGGTAGGGCCCCACTTCCTTATTATATAAGGAAAATGTTTTAGATCTCCAAAAATCTCTCACAATTAAATAAAGTTATATTCATCGAGTAAGTTTTATTTGAGGACTAAATATTTTAACTGAAAAGTTAAAAAATAATTATAAATTGTTATATTATATTTTTTATTTTTTACCTATCTTTTCATAAAAATTTAAAAATTTGTTAAAATAATATGCTCCCAAATGAGATTTTAGTATATTAATTAGTATATTAATGAATGATGTGATATAGTTTTTTGAAAAATGCTTGGGAGCACTAATTAGTGCTCCCACTAATTAGATGGCAGTGGGTCCCGCCATTAATGATGTGATGTTTTGGTCTTGGAGTTGTATTTTTTTTTTTTTTTACTTTTTTAATGCATTAGTGCTATTAGTGGTGATGTTTTTAGTGGGATGAATCATTGTTGTAGTTTTTTTAGTTTTGAGTATTTATAGTTTATATAATGGGTGGGTTCATAATTTTGAAATTATATTAGAATAATGTTAGATGCACCAATTAGTGCACTAACTAGTGTACCAATTGATGGTGTGGTATAATTTAAGAGATTTTTGATATTTGTAATGTGATTAATAAGTAAAGTTAATAATAATGTCATAACTATTGTTGATACACAAGTTAGTACACTAATTGGTGCATGTAACATCACCGATTATGAATATTACTATAACATATGTTGGTACACTAATTGATATAATAATTAGTGTGTAGTACCATTGCGCACAATTCAACCCATAATAATGTAATCTGATAAGTGTCAGTTTTTTATTAGTTATACACTCAATTATATGAGGCTCGCCACCTTTGTTACATTATTGTGAATGTATTTATGAGCGTAAAATATGAGTTTCTAGCATGATTGATTAAAAAAAAAAAAAAAAAAAAAAAAAAAAAAAAAAAAAAAAAAAAAAAGTAGTGTACTTGAAACAATTTATTACACATGAAAAAATGTTATCTACAGGAAAACTGTACATAAAATGTCCATAATCTCTCACATGACGGTGGGTAAGTCTCACATCTGTGTGGGGGCCTCACTTTCATGATTTTGATAATTTATTTTAGAAAATAATTATGACGGCATCGTGGAGTTATGCGTGTTTTATTAATCCTTTTTTTTTATTATTATTATTGTTGTAAAATCCTTACCATTCTGTAATTGTAAAGGACGATATTTATTACATCATGTAAGAGTTGAGAAATATTTATGTGAATTTATTAATATTTTAAATTTAGAAAAAATTATTATAAATTCTTAAATAATGTAATAGAGATCTTCAATTACAACTTTAAAATAAAAAAATTCAATAACACTATAATATAAATAATTTAAATTATCAAAATAATTCGGATAAACCTAATGGACTATCACAATACGGGTGTAACAATACCAATTCCCTGTCCTTGTGCACATAGTACCGTTGCATGAAAAACAACAATGATTCATATCACTGAAAAAAATATCACTAATAACACTAATGCATTGAGAATGTCAAAAAAAAAAAAAAAAGGAAAAGGCATAGGCATAGGCATAGGCAGTGGAAGAAAAAAAATAAAATAAAAATTTTATAAATTTAAATCGGCTGTAGTATTAGGCACAGTGGAAGGAAAAAAAAAAGGGTCCATATATTTAATTGTAGATAATCTCTCTCTGTATTTATGTCATATATATATATATACATGTATGAGTATATATGAAACTTACAAACAAAGTTTGGAATTATATAAAGATTTGCTAACTTTACTATGTCACTCTTTTGAAATTTCTTATAAAACACTTAATGAGAATAACGGGTGATTATTCAGTATTTTTGAAATATGGACACGTGATACTCCATAAGGTTTTGATAGATAGAGGGGGGTAGGTGTTCACGATTTATATTGGGGATAGAGGAATAACATTGGAGTTAAGTAATTGGTGATTCATTTGGAGTATGACTACGTGGTATTCCGAGATTATTAAATAATTTCCCGAGAATAACATAATAATGACATTTTAAAAAGGAACACAATTAAGATGATTACATTTGGATATTATTCAATGAAGTTTCTTATGTATTAGTGTATGTCGGTGTCTGTGTCTATGCCTGAAAGTACAATGTAAACAAAAATAAGTGAACAAAAAGGAGGAAATAAAATAAATAAATAAATAGGGAGGAAATAAAAAAGGGAGGAAAATAAAAAAAATAAAAAGAAAAGAGAAATGTGGGATCATGAGATTATTCATGGGATTTTGGGAGAGTGGGTGAGAAAGGAAAAAGTAAGAGAAAAATACATCACAGCTATTGTTTTGTATTTTGAACAAATCTGAGTCGTCCAAATGTCCTAATAACACGAATGTGTGTGGGACATTTTCAAAAACTTTCTTATCTTATTATATAGATTAATCACGTTATTTAATTGAACTTCCTTAGCTAAAATTTATTACATCATTTTTCTATAATAATTTCACTACTTCAATGATTAAAAATAGTCTAATAATTTGAGGTTGGTTGTAAGTTTAAAATTAAAGACAGTCACTTTATATAAATTATACCAAAAATTAAGTTTATAATCAATCTATTAAGTGGTGACATATAAGTCTCTGCCTTTTGTGCGACATGTATATCACATTTTATAAAATTCTATGTACAAATACATTTTTTTTTAAAAATAATATTATTAATATTTTTTTGGGGGGTGGTTGCAAATTTTGGAAGTGCAAAGCGACCATAACCACTACTTATCAAAGCAGCATTGAGTTTGCAGATATCATCCAATGGTGAGTTGACACGTATACAAAATTGGTCCCCATGGTCAAGGTGCACCACGATGTGCTGTGTGCGCGCGCGCAAGTTCGAAATAAAACACGTGGGGAGTAAGATTTTGTAATACTTTCTGATTTTCAAATCAATCGAGCATGTTCATAGGGAAGCACTTACACGTACCGCGCACACACAGAGAGAAAAGAATCAATTTCACTACGGCGCCGTATTTTTTTAGCTCAATTACAAAAAATTCATGTGTATATACTATGGACTTGGATTCCCTTCTCAAGAATTTTTTCGTTCATAATTTTACAGTTTTCTACCACTATAGAATAAAATATAAAATACATATGAATAAATAAAATTTTATAAAATTTGTCAACAAAATTTATTATAAAATTTTCCATCGGAATCAATTTTGAAAAATTCTATTCATTTATACATATATTTTGTGTTTGATTTTGTGATTTATTTATATTGTTGTATATTTTATTAATAATTACGTTATGATAATTCAACTACTCATTTTTAAAAATGAAAAAGAAAAAGAAAATCAAATTGGATTGTTATATTTTTATTTTTATACTTGAATAATTGAATGATGTCATTTGTTGACATATTTTTCTAGCCAATAATATTACCCATTAAATTTTTTTTCTTAAATATCAATGTGCTTTAAATTTATTTAATGTGCAAACTCCACTATATTTAAGTCTTGTTTGTCAACTATACATTTTAGTTAAAAAGTTAAAAAGTCACTATAAATTGTTACATCACTTTCTTTTCTTTTCTACATATTTTTTCGTAAAAAAATTAAAAAATTATTAAAATAACATATTCCCAAACGGGGCCTTATATTTCAACCCCTCATTCACATTGTACATAAACTTCTTGACAGAAATTCAAGTAACAAGGTTTATTTTATTTTTAACAGCAATAACTAGTTATTTAAAAAATAAAATATGTTGATGAGATATATTTCATGTGAGATTCGTATTCTATGAATCTATGCAATATTTATTATTCTCAAAAGGATTTTGATCCTCTTCTATTTTATATATGTGATAAAAAAAATTTCACAACATAGTTAATGGTTATAAAATAGGAATACAAATTTATAATCAATTTAAATTAAAATAAATTATTACACTTATTATTAGATGATCTAATGAAATCTCTCTATTATAAATATGTAAAGGAGAGACTCACAGTTTTTTTCAAAATACTTTTTAAATTACTTTGTATAATCTATACTCAAACTGCTAAAATCTTTTTATCTCTTTCCCAATACAAATGATGTCATTTGGAATGATTTAAGTCATTTGAGTCACAAAATTTTAAGTTGCTCTTTCACAAGTGTAGACAAGGATTTTGAATACCACATCACTATATATATCACTATCACCCTCCATGCACCTCTCACCCCACCATAGCATATAAGGTTCTCTCTCTCTCACGTAGTGTGTCGCACCATGCATATCAGTTTGTTCAGTATTATATCCATTTTACTTTAAAAATCACATTTACACTCACAAATTCACATTCACCATTATCACTATCACTATCATTATCACCGCCACCTCCTCTCTCCAACCAGACACAATGAACTCCTTACAATCATGGCCCGAACCAATCATCCGAGTTCAATCCCTCTCCGACAGCGGCCTAACCTTTATCCCAGACCAGTACGTAAAACCACTCGCCGACAGGCCATCTCTAACCGAACCACCACCACCACCAGCCGAAATCAACATCCCGGTCATTGACCTCTCCCAACTCTTCTCCCCCGACCGCTCAATCCGATCCGCTACAGCGCGTGTCATCTCACGAGCGTGCAGCGAGTGGGGGTTCTTTCAAGTGGTGAACCACGGCGTGAGCCACGAGCTGATGAAGCGGATCCGAGAGGTGTGGCGCGAGTTTTTTGAACTTCCCTCGGAGGAGAAACAAGCCTACGCGAACTCACCGGCGACTTACGAGGGGTACGGAAGCCGGCTCGGAGTGGAGAAAGGAATGAAGCTGGATTGGAGTGATTACTTCTTTCTTCATTACCTTCCGGAGTCGCTGCGTGATCAGAATAAGTGGCCGAGTCTTCCTCTCTCGTGCAGGTTAGCCACGCTCCTCCTTCATGCGCGTGAGACATCAATAAATATTTCTCTCTAATTACCCTACGTTTGATAAGATAATGATAGAGATATTAATTTTTTATCAATTTTTCTACTACTAAATATGGTATCCACACTGGCATGAGTGCTTGATAAAAAAAAATTAAAATCTCGATCATTTTTTATTTGATAATCAGTTAAAATTAACAAAAAAAGTCAAAATAAAACGATAACTCATTCTCTCTCTATTATATTTTGGTAAAAAATTAAAAATTTATTAAAATAATCAATTCACAAAAGAATTCTAAACCTCTATTCCATTTTAGTAATGATACTAGTTAAAATGAAATTTTGAAAGATATATAATATACAGTAGTGCTAGTAACACATATTCAAAGCACATGTATCGTAAATTTCACACATCTCACATCATGTAGGACTTATTTATTATAAAATTTGTGTCTCATTTTATATTCTGAATTTGTGCACTTAAACTTATTGTATAGTATAAAAATTGCAACGGGACTAGGTGGGGCTAAGTTTGGAGTATCCCGTTCTCACTCGATTCTTCATCGAGGCAAGAACAGGAAAGTTTTGCTAATAAATATTGGTAATTTAAATCTTTGATCCTGTTATTTTCTGATATATTGATTGACAAAGACTGATATTTGACGTATTGTTGATACAAATACGTAATCCAATATTATTATTTAAAATCATGAGGAAAACTTAGTATCTAAATTATAACAATAGTGTAGGTACTAATTTTCACACAAAAATTTGAAAAACAATTATACAGAAAACTCATATAATGAGATGTGTGACTATGATATTGAGCCTTTTGTTTTCCAATGAATTGATAAGATAAGCCACATCATTTTTCAATAATTTTTTATATATAAATTTTATTTGTATAACAACTTATGCAACAATAAAAATAAAAATAAACATAACTAAAAAATTGGCTCCTTTGTTTTTCTCAATTTATTGTACAACATATTTATGTTTTAATGATATTATTCTAATTAAACAGCATTTTATTTTATTTTTGTCATGAAATGATAAGTTAAAACACATTCACATAATTTTATTTAAATTTTTACATGTTGGTTTTGTTTAATAATATTATTATAACACATATCACTTTTATCATAATTTGAAAGCAATTATTCTATGAACATAAAAGGTTTTTGTAGAATAGAACATAGATGTAAGATAAATGACGACTCCCACTTATGTAGTTCACTGTATGTGAGATTCATTTTTATTTTACATCTATATATCTTATTTTATGAAAAATTTCTAATTATCACATCATGCTTGATGAGTTGGACGCAACAAAAATGTTAATCATTCTAACTATTAGTTGATCAGAGTAGGTCGATTTCTGTCTCTATTAAGATAGTATTTTTTGCCCAAAGTAATTAAACTACTAAAAATATGTTTTAGTATTAAGAGTATACTAGAAAAGTTGAAGCATGGTATGAAACTTATCCATTTGAAAAAAAGAAAAAGAAAAAGAAAAATACACACATACATACATGTATCAACTTTTTTTTTTATAATTAAAAATTAAAAAATTGGTAGTAGGGGTTGGCAAACACCCACCTGAGCCCAATGGAAGCGGACACATGTTTGTTTGTCGGGATAAGGGATGCAATTGGAGTTCGTGAGCCTCAGCTGTTCCCCTTTATTCTTCAATTCAATTATACTAATCCCGTGTTTGGCTGACCAAAGTATGAATGAATTATCTTCAAAAATGGGCATATCACACTTGTCTTAATAAATAATAATCTGATTTTGTAACATTTATAAGTCAACTCATTTAATTTATTATTTAAATGATTTGATTAAAAAAAAGTTCATTAATAGTGTTTGGTTGCAATTTTAGATTATAGTTTATTTGAATTTTTAAATTTATTTAGCCAAAAAAAAGGGGTGAGATTTTCTCAAGTTACGATTTATAACTTTTTAAACTTATTTGAAACCCTTTAACGTATATGCACAAAAGAGTCATAACTTTTTTGCCTTAATTATAATTTGGGGAATTTGCGGCAATAATCCACTTTAGTCTTTGTGTAATTTTAGTTCCTATAATTTTAATTGGTTCGATTTTGATTTTAAATTTATGATTTTGTTTTAATTTTATCCAATTGATTATAAATTAGCCCTTTTGAATGAAAAATATGCATATAAGTAACATATGTCATATTTTTTAGAGTAAAACTATAAATTTACTAAATTCAATGAGTTAAACTCAACTAATTTAGTAATACACATTTTTGACCTTGTAGAAAAAAATTTAAATTATTTATCTCTTTTCATGTTTTATTCTCAGTCACATTCAATGCGATTAGTTTATAAAATTATTTTGTTTGTACAAGTAATCCATAAATTAATAAGATTAAAAAAAAGACAAAAAGAAGTAAGCTTTAGAATAAACATGTGATGAGATTTCCCTCTATCCAAATATAGATTTTTATAATTTAAATGTGATAGTGAATCAACCATAGTTTAAGTGTGAACACGATTCATATATCCACTGAATCCTTAACCGTATATATGGTTCAAAGAATTTAGTCAAATATGTTGTATGGGATATGTGAGGTTATCAAATCAAATTAAAATCCGTTAGTGTAATGTCAAAATCATGATAAAAGAGGTCAATCATTTGATTGGATTTTCAAGGATTTGTCGGGTGAAAAGGAGTGATTAAAGGGCATAGCTTCTTTGATGATTACATTCTATTATTTTTAGACCCTTCGTAGGCTTTGTTCATGCATGGACTAATTGCACTTTGATAGTGGTGGAGTAACCACTAATGGGCAAATGAGAGGTGGTTTTTGTGAATATGAGTGATGATATTTTTATTGTCTCTCTTTTTATCATTTATAATTATATGATTTAATTTTTATAAAAATTAAAAATTATTTTTAAAAAATTGTGTAACTATGAAACAATGTTTTTAGACATAGAGAATCGCTATTAACATTGTATAGCCTAATATTGTCTAATTATGCATTAATTAGATGTGTGCAAGCCAAATTATCTGTAGAAAGTCAAGTCTTGCTTCACAAAAATTATGGCTTTTGAGAGGGCACCGAATCTTTTGTCTTGTGTTTGAAAACACTCACAATTGATAAATCATATTTTAAGATTTGTTCACTTTAAAATTTTCATTTGATTCAATAATTATTAAGTTTTTTAAACGAAAGGATAAAAAAATTAGAAAGTAGAGCATCCTTAACCTTCTACAAGCCTATATTTTAGTTATAAATAGTTTTTAAAAAAATGTAATTCAATTGAGATTTTAAAATCTTGAAATTAGATTTATTACTCAACATATCTCTTAAAAAATAAAAATCTACAAACACATTATCAATCATTTATTCAATTACAGAAAATAATAATAGTCATAAGATAAGATGGCCAGTATCTGTATTTTCTGTGGTTGGTTCTATGAAATATTATTGACCTTTTTTTTAAATACTTGCAGGGAATTGGTGGCAGAGTATGGAAATGAACTGGTTAAACTGTGTGGAAAATTGATGAAGGTTTTCTCAGTGAACCTGGGATTGGAAGAGGACTACCTTGGAAAAGCTTTTGGAGGAGAAGAAGTAGCTGCTTGTATGAGGGTGAATTTCTATCCAAAGTGTCCACAACCTGACCTCACATTGGGTCTCTCCTCACACTCGGACCCCGGCGGCATGACCCTTCTCCACTCCGATGATCATGTCGCAGGCCTCCAAGTCCGGCGAGGTGATGACTGGGTCACTGTTAAACCTGTTCCTAATGCCTTCATTGTCAACATTGGTGATCAAATTCAGGTCTCTCTCTCTCATGAGTAGTTTGGAAGAAAACAAGGGCAAGAACATAAATATTGCAAGAAAATTATAATGTTTTCACCATATTAACAAAATAATGAGACTCACCATATCCAAAAAGAATGAGAGTTATCATTATTTTTTTGGATGAATATGTTATATATGTATCTACAAAAATATCAAAATGTGTTTAGAATTTGAATATACAATATAAATTTAAATTTGGTGTGACGTCACTTACATTCAGAATGAATCTAATCCACACATTTTAAATTCTCAATACTTTTCTTGGTTTATTTATTTATTTATTTATTATGGTTATGTAGCATTATTTTTTTCTGAATATAGTGAGTTACTATATGTACACATGATATATGTTGTATCAAGCTACATAAGAGGTGAAAAAATTGGTGAAACTTATCAACCCCTATTTGTTCTTCATTACCTTGCAACCAAATGGAATTTAATTTATGTAAATTCTTTTTCTTTTTTTTCTTTTATGGGTTAATTTAATTAGTTTTTATTGTATTAAATGACTAATTGTAGATTCTAAGCAATGCAACATACAAGAGTGTGGAGCATAGGGTGATTGTGAATTCAGCCAAAGAGAGACTATCACTTGCCTTCTTCTACAACCCTAATGGCAACATTCTCATTGAACCCGCCAGTGAGCTCGTGACGGAGGACTCACCGGCTTTGTATCCGGCGATGACATTCAACAAGTACAGATTGTTCATCAGAACAAAAGGTCCTCGTGGCAAGTCACAAGTTGAAGCACTCAAATCACCCCATTAATAATTAGAACATAAGGGCTGTGTTTTTTTTTTTTTTTTTCTTCATGTTATGGTTATAAAAAAAAAAAATTGCATAATGCAATTTATCTTTTGCATGTTAAATCAACTTTAGACTATCCCTTTTTTTTTTCTTTTTTCTTTTTTTTGTGAAGAGCTTTAGACTATCCTTTTGAATATATATAGATGCACAAATATGTTGTCTGAATTCATAATATCTCTGTTTATGTTTTTAGATTGTATGATTTTTAATTTGGTAACTAAAACTTATTGGAAGCTTAACAAAAAAGAATTAAAAACAAAATTCCAAACCCAGCTTCAAAAAGTTTAGATTTACTTGGTTGTATTTTTTGTTACCACTCATGTCTATTATCAGTATACAATATTATTCCTTTTAAATTTTTTTTTTTTTTAAGACTCTAAAATTGATAAGTAAATTAAATCACCTTCTAATCGCTAGGCTTTTTTTTTTTCAGATGTCTTTCCATTCAAATCATATGATGATCGCCAAAAAATAAATAAATAAATAGAGCTTGAGCTTTTATGACATAATATTAATAATATAATGACGACACAAAGATGCATGGATTTAGAAGAGTCCACATTGACGCCTAAGATAAAAGAGAAATTGTAAAGTCTTTTATTTACTCAGATCACACACCATATTTTGCACGTGCTCTATAGTCTATACTCAAGACTCTGTCCAAAGTAGTAGCTGTAGTTTTTCCAGCCTAGAATCGTGTCCTATTCATATTGTGCTATTTTAAACTTTTATTACAATTATTTAAATACTAACTCAATTTATATATTATTTTTTATTAACGTATTACATTATTTTGAAGATTTTTTTTTAAGATCCCTAATATTAAGATTTTATATCATAAAGGACACTCAATATTTTCATAATGTCTAAGATCCCTCAATATCGATCCAGAGAAAATTCGTTCCAGAAAATTTCTCTACACAAATCACAGAGAAAATTCCAAATTTCTCTGGACAACAATGAAGACTAGTGCTCTGCTTCAGAGAAAATTGAGTTGGTCCAGAGAAATTCTTTGGTTTTGGACTGGAGTAGTGCTTTGCTTCAGAGAAAATTGGATTGATCCAGAGAAATTCTCTGGTTTTGACTCAATTTTCTCTGGGTAGTAGTTTTGGTCATATTGATCGTTTTTTAGCTCTCAAATTATAATCAAGACACTTCATAATAAAGTGTAGCATATTAAGTAGGGGTTAAATGTGATAATAGTGTTATTCATCGAACTTCCTATAATTGCTTAGTGGGATCTTTATGAAGTTAAATAGAGTAGCAAAAAAATTAAAATATCGATTAGCTGTTACATTGAGAAATGGAAAACAATTAGTGGGTGAAAAATGAATACTTTCATATGATGTCAAACCTTCCTCACTTTATTATCCGCATTGTCAAAGTTGTATATGAACACATGTACATACATTGTAATTAGAAATAATGCATTGCTATAAGGTTGAAGTTGCATCAGCTGATGAGGGAATGAGTTTTTATTTTTTTATTTGTGATGAGCAATATTCTAATTAAAGCACAGAATATGAGGGGAAGGGAAAGAAGAACAGAAATTATTTCTTTTATCTTTTAGATTCAAATCTAACTGTTCACACTTTTAAAATTCTATGCTATCATTAATTGCCATTGTGTTATGATTGGTCTGGTGTAAATTATGCATAGCTAACCATGGTAATAAGTAGATAGATGTATGTTATGTGTACACAAATATACTTGTTTGTGATACTTACAGTAAATGAATTAAAAAATTTATTTTAGTCTTGGTAACTAAAAGTTGGGGAAGAAATGTTAGTAACTTGTACATGGAATATGGAATCACACTTCATTATGCACTTTTTTCTCCATACCAGGTGGCCTCAAACTACTGTTCCTAAATTCAAAATTATCGCTTCCGAATGTTTGCAAAAGGTTTGAATTGGTGAACAGATATCATTAGTGAGGTATGTTATACTTTATAATATTTTGCTTATCCAGAGAAAATTAGTTTCAAAGAATTTCTCTAGACAAATCACAGAGAAAATTCCAAATTTCTGTGGACAACAATGAGGACTAGTGCTCTGCTTCAAAGAAAATTGGATTGGTCCAGAGAAATTCTCTGGTTTGGACTGAATTTTCTCTTGTTTGAACTCAATTTTCTCTAGGTTGGTCTAGAGAAATTCTTTGGTTTTGGACTGGACTAGTACTCTGCTTTAGAGAAAATTGGGTTGGTCTAGAGAAATTCTCTGGTTTGGACTGAATTTTCTCTTGGTTGAACTCAATTTTCTCTGGGTTGGTCTAGAGAAAATCTTTGGTTTTGGAGTGGACTAGTGCTCTGCTTCAGAGAAAATTGGGTTGGTCTAAAAAAATTCTCTAGTTTGGATTGAATTTTTTCTGAGTTGAACTCAATTTTCTCTGGGTTGGTCCAGAGAAATTTTCTAGTTTTGTCTAGAGAAATTCTCTGATTTAGATTGAAATTTATTTGGATTAATTTGAGGAACCTTAGACATTCTCTCCTTGGCATTTCATCAAACACCTTCTTTGCTAAATCCATGTCCCCAACTATGTGCATATTTTGCATATTTTCAAAACAAGTTTGTGCAGAATTAGAATCAAGCATTTTCTTTGATGAAATATGATCATTTGTTCAAATTTGGAAAATAATATAACAAAATTATTTTGAGGGACCAAAAGCATTGAGAGATTTGGAATTATTCATAAAGTGGTAAGAGAGCCCAAACCCTAGCTGGTTCTCACTCCTCTTTGTGCTTCTTTTCTCTCACTATCGCTGTTGTCTCCTCTCTTCCTCCTCCTCTTCTTCTGACAGCGCCGAGAAAGAAGGTGAGAACAGTTTCAAATACTATCGCAAAGTTTGGTTCTTTCATTTATGTGGTCTTTATTCTGGATTTGTTTGTATATTTTGCTGAAGATCAGAAAGAAAAAAAAAAAAAAAAAAGAGTCAAATTTCTCTGATCTGATATATGGGTTTGTATTTAAGAACCTTAGACATTAAAAAATAATATTGTGGACCTCTTCCATTACTAAAAATGGGAGAGGGACCTTAAACTAATTTTCTCTATTATTTTCAGTCTGTATTCGGTATGTATCATTTAGCATACTATAATAAACTCAAAATTCAAAAATTTTACGCTTATAGCACACTTTATATTTTTAGAGTATCCACATCATGCTAGCTATTATGATTTTAGGACAAATTTGGTTAACAAAGTGTAAAATCACTCATCCATCAGTCTCGCTTCACCAAAATTAAATTTAACATTGCTACGCTAAATCGTTATATGTAACAATGCATTGTTCACAGGTTATATAATATTTTATCATTTATTTTTAAGAGTGATCGGACATCATGCCGATCATTCTGCCGGACATCCTGTCAGACGACTGGTTGCTACACCATTTTTTTTTTGGAATATGAAATATAATATTTTATCATTTATTACCAGACATCCTGTCAAATAACCGACTGTGCACCATTATTATTATTTATTTATTTATTTATTTGTTTTTTGTTGAGGAATATGGCAATTTTTCCTAGAACCTTTTAGAAGCTGCTTTGGACAAGGTTGTTTGCATAATCTAACAAATCATAAAAATAAATATTTTATAAAAATAAAATTTTAAAATAGAGAGTCTGATGTAGGTGTACATACAAAAAATATCGATAAAACAGAAAAAAATAACTTTTTAGTTATGATCTAACTCAAAATTTGTTAAGACTAATGGGAATGCTCTTATAGCCTCCCTTCCCTCATAGAGCTGGTTTTGTCAATGATCATTTTCCTATTGTTTTTTATTTTTTGGTGTGAAATTGGTTTTTGAAAATTCAAAATCAACTTCATATTATGAAATTTAAATGGGAATTCTCAACTTTTATTTATTTATTTATTTATTTTCAAAAAAAATTGGTCCAAATAAGACCACATATCCATGTTTTATGAAGAAACTATGGTCACATGGGCATTGGTTATGCTTGTTGCAATTTATTTTAAGCTAAAATTTTAGAAGTGGAATCTAAAACATATTTCTCTCAAATTTTTATAATAATTAATTTTTTTAATTTATTTTTAAAAAAATTAATAAGATCTAAGCATCAACTGCAACCTTGGCATCAAACAATCTCGCATGACTTCAAAATAAAAAATAAAATTATAATTACCTCCAAAAACTAAATGGAATTATGATTGGGTTGTTTTGAAAATAGGTTCTTTTAATAATTTTTTAATTTTTGGTTAAAATATGAGGTGAAAAAAATTAATATATTTGAAATATCTTTTCTTACTTTAAAAAAAACAAAAAATAGAAAAAAATAAATATTTAACTTTTTAGTATAATTTTTTAATTTTTTTTGATATTTTTAATAACTTTTTAACTAATATAAGAGATTTTCAAAGCCTTTTTGTACGGGGAGCCCTCTCACTTTTAAATATGAATTAAGTACAAGTGTCATATGGGCCACCAATAAAATTAAGCGAACCCTTAAAAAGTGCACTAATCTCCTAAGGTGCGAGTTCCAGTGATGAAATTTTATAATATATAGTTATAAATTAAAGTGATCTTAGTTATTGGACTTTTATGACATTTTTTTTTGGTTATAAAGTATTATTTGATAATTTTAATTATGATTCAAATTAATTAAATACCCATTATATGTACCTTTGTACACTGACACTTTCCAAAACAATCTTTCTTTTAGTCTCCGTTTGGGAAGTGGATTGGCTTTTTGATTTTTTGACTTTTTTGACTATTTTAACTTGGGCTAAAAAGTTTAGTTTGTGAAGGACTTTTTGACTTTTTGACTTTTTTGGCTTTTTTTGTAAGAGAAGAATGTAATGATTATGGGTTGAATGTGATATTTTGTTTTTTGTGGCTAAAATAGCCTATTTTGTTTTTTGTGACTAAAATAGTCAAAAAAATCCTGTTTAGCTCTTGCCAAATGGAGCCTTAGTTAAAGATTTGAATGGGAGAATGTTGTTTGAGCCTATGAAATCTATTACGGGTCTTATTTCAATAATTTGAACAGCTCATTTTATAAGGTCATTCATGAATATCATTCACAAACAAAAATTAAATTGATTCAATAATCGTAACTT